TCCCCACCCTTTGGCCCTGTATACCCATATATGGTGCTTTGATGATGGTCTCCCCACCCTTTGGCCATGTATACCCATATAATGTGCTGTAGTAGGTTGAGTGGTCAGGCACTTTTTGATAAAGTTGCGTGGATATCCATTTTGTTGGAAGTTGTTGTATAGGTGATCTGTTTTCTTTTTCTGCTGTTCTGGGTTGCTGTGGTGCATTTGCGCTCATTTGAATAACATCTGAAGATGTTACCTAGCCAGGTAACAAAACGTTTGTAAGAAAACAATCAGGCTCAGAGAACCCCAAGGACTCCCTGAGCTACATATCAAATATCTTAAGGTTGTATCGATTGCTAGTGCCAGCCTAATGCAAATAGGGCAAGTAGTAGTAAAAGTGGTAACAGACTTTATTTTCTTGGGCTCAAAAATTCACAGAGATGGTGACTGTAATTATAATTTTTTTTAAAAAAATCTGCTGCTTAGGAGAAAGTATGACAAAACTAAACAATATTAAAATGCAGAGACATCACACTATCGTCAAGGCCATGGTCTCTCCTGTTGTAACATATGGCTGTGAAAGCTGAACCATCAGAAAGACTGACCAAAGAAAAATCTATATCTTTAAACTGGAGAAAATTGTTGACAGTATCTTGGACAACGAGAACAACCAATAGTTCAATACAAGATGAAGGAAAACAGACACTCATTGGAACAATGAAGTTAAATGTTAGATATTTTGGATACATAATGCACGATCCCTTATGACAGGGGTACTTTAATTGGGTAGCTTGGCTAAGTAGACATTGGAGGAGGAGAGCCACATTAGTCTATGGTAGTCAAAAATCAGGAAGAGTCTGGTAGCACCTTTCAAGGCTAACAGTGGAAGTGAGCTCACCAAAGCTTATGCATTATAATAAAATGTGTTACTCTCAAGAGGTGCTATAGACACATTCTGATTCTAGGGAGTTTGGAGTTTCACTTGCTGACCTAAATAGCCCTTTGAAATTTATGATTATATGAAGGCATGGGCCTTTTCCAACAAAACTGAAACATCTTGAGATAATTTTTCTGTAGATTTCGGGAACAAAATTGAATTAGTCTCTTAGTGAAACTGGGTGAAACTGCTGCTTAGTCTAGCAAACCATAAGCAAACTGTAAGGACTGAAGGAACATGCAGGATTCCAAAATGAGCCAAACCAAATGGGGGCAAAGAAAAATACTGGACCTCAAAACAAAGAGGCAGCCAGTACCAGATCCTTTGTTAGCATTCTTGTTGCTATGTTGCTAAATATGCTGAATCTTCTTTATTGAGCACAGCCCCACCTAGGACATATTTAGCCAGAAAGCAACCAGGTCTTGTGTAAAGGAGACAAGGCACCTGCTCAGTTGAAGCACTGCCAACCTATCCTTGAACCCGCATCAAATATGCTGTTCCAAATCCCACCTTGCCAAATCACCGACTTCTCTCTGAAGCATGGGATGAAAAGCCTATGAGATCTTGCCTACCTTGAGGAGACACTTAAACCGTTTCCAAATAAAGACGGGGAAATACCAGAATGGCTGACTTAAGGCTAATAGGAGAATAGCACTGAAGATGTTACCTAGTCAGGTAATGAAATGTCTGCAAGAAAACAATCAAACTCAGAGAACACCAAGGGCTCCACAGTGACTTAAGCCTGCCACACCTGCATTTGAGATCGTTTGGCCTGTAGGACATTGTATCGTAATAGGACATTGTATTGTAGGACATGATGTAGGACATCAGGACATTCGGTTAAACAGTTTTTTGGTGTAGCCACAGCATGTTATGTCAGCACAGCAACTGTGTTTTGCTAACCAGAATTTAGGACTGCGATGTGGGAATAGAGACTGAAATGCATTGGATAGCATTTTTCCATTTCAATTCTCCTCCCGTCCCAGCACCGCCAATCCAAAAATCCCCTCCGAGAATGTGCACGGGATTGCTCAGCGTCGAATGCAAATCGAAAAGAAGCTTGTGCCTCCCCGGTTGAAAGGGGAGCGGCGTTTTTCCAGGATTGCACAAGATTTCGCTCCGGCGCAGCACAGAACTGGTGGCGGCCGGCACAGTTTCATCAAACTCTCCGCCCCTCCCCTTTGCTGAATATGGTGGGGTTTTCGAAATGAGTTCATTCCCTGGAAATCCCAGCAGCAGCTTTTGGCTCCTCCCTCGCCTGCGAGAGGCCACCATATAAGCGCCGAGGACCATGGAGACGGGCACACGCTTTCCAGGATCTCTCAGCAGCCAACCCAGCTTCTCCTGCCCTCGCAACCATGCGCGCTGCTGCCCAGACTACCGGTGCTCTTGCGCTGCTGTTTCTGCTGCTGTTCAGCATTTCGATTCAAGGTCAGTCCGGGCAAGTCTGCACAAGGGGGCGGGAAAGAAAGGGGCGAGGAAGGGTCTGTCGCTTCCGCGTTTGAACCCGAGGCGACGGGGCGCAAGAGAAACCTGTGTGTGGGCGGCAGCAATCGTCCCCAACTACTCTCCTTTCTCTTAAAAACCACAATTTCTCTCCGACCTATGCTATGGGAAGTTGTTGGAGGATCTCTTTGTCGAAATAGGCACATTGTTTTCGTCCCACGCTTTTTAGTGGTCAAAGAGTGATTGCAACCCTCTTGAACATGTTCATCAAGGGCAAGAGGGAGATCAGGAAACCTTAGGGGTAACCTTGTGTCCTCTAGATTAGTGTTTCTCAACCTTGGGAATTTTAAGATGTGGAGACTTCAATTCCTAGAATTCCCGAGCGAGCTTTGCTGGCTGGGGAATTCTGGGAATTGAAGTCCCCACATCTTAAAATTCCCAAGGTTGAGAAACACTAATCTAGAGGACACAAGGTTACCCCTAAGGTTTCCTGATCTCCCTCTTGCCCTTGATGAACATGTTCAAGAGGGTT